GTACACTATCTTATGTATACTTATAAAAATTGACCTTTTCTCCATGAGAACTAATCTCTTAAAACTTCTCCATAAAAATAATAGTATTTTCCAGGTATGTATTCAAGCGCCATTACTGTTTCCTGTTTGAGTCCAGTTTTCACTTTATCCATGTAATGTTCTTTTACTACCGAAGACAACTGTTCACTTTTTATCTCTTTCTTTCTGAGGTCATGGGGACTCATAGCTGCTTCTCTCTTTGAGTCTCCCATGTATATAGCTGAAAAAGGCCACCCCCGAAATGGTAGTCCCAGCTCCTAAGTTCTTAGGTTTTTACATATGTAGTGTTCATATCTAGCTAGCAGAAGTCTTTAAGTTTTAATTTTAAGTCCTTAGCAGAGAGAATATTGTTGGATTAGCTGGGGCCTGATGTTTACCACTGTCCAATCAATTGCTTTCAAACAGAAGTTGGATTGTATAGTGCACACATGGCTGCCTACATCTGTCAATGTGAGTGGTGGTCTCAGAGAAGCAAAGCATGGGTTGAGAAGATATCTCAAAATGTATAATTGTATCCTATGTAGAGGAAGGGGTGTGAGCAATCACTTAGAGTGGAGAATTTGCTTAAAATTTATAATTGGCAATTAGAGTGACCTGACAGGAAGGGGTGCTCCATAGCAAACTGTTAGAAAACAAGTGTATATGTGCCCTGAACATCCAAGTGGCATGAAATTTGTTTGCCAGTCTCATTACTGTGAGTTTTATCCCATAGTAAAAACATCAGGGAACTCAGAGAAACTGAGGGGTGTTTTTAGTACAGGAAGGTCATTATTATATTGATCATGGGTGTCAGCAGAAAGTGCAGTGGAACATTATCATATCCTGCTTAATCCCTCAGTCACCTGGGAGCTGGGTGGTATTCTTTGGTGGACTTGACTTACCTTATTTTCCTCTATTTTGGATCTTGAGGGAGCAATAAGAAAATTTTACTTGAGCTATCCTAAGTAAATGCAGGAATTTATTATAAGGCCTCTTGTAATTAAAGGGCACATGCGTGAGCTGGAGACTAGAACCAGGCCTGGGAAGCCACTGGAATTCTGGTTATGCAAATGATCTCTTTGAGGACACATGATCTAACATCTTTGCTTTTATGTGGATGTATGCTTCGTTCTTTGTACTGATGAACTTTCTATTTACGCGGGGAAAATATGACTTTATAGTATTTGTCTTACATCATTTTTAAATTTAGCACCCAGGAGAGACTAACTAGAGTCTAAGTTTTTAGGAGGCAGACTCCTATTGGACATCTTGGCTTGAGCCAGCTGTCTCCAACGATGACCATGGAGAGTTGGATCAATGTGGTACAGGCTGTGGGAGCCAAATGCTATGGGTGGATTGGCAGTTATTAAAGCTGGGCAGCTTGGGCTGAAGAGAGACCCCGAAAATGTCGACCTCAATCACAAGGTCTTTGAACTTCATCTGTTTTTATTCACTGCTCCTTGCGTGTGTTACATCTTCTATCCCAGGGTGCAAGTTTGTGTTTATCAACAGCTAAAGCTTTTTCTAATCAGTATTGCCAATTTTCTTTTCTTGTTTTTATTACAGCATTTTCCCCCTCAAGTCCAAAAGGACAGGGAAATTTTCACTTGATATTTCATTCACTTTAGGATACTAGGCTTGAATAAAGATTAAGCTCCACAACAGGACATTTCTTTATAAGCTATATTCCAAATTATGAGAGTGTGAAGACTCACAAGAGTGTCTCATTGAATTCCATTTTAGGAGAAGTCCAGCAAGATGATGACCACCTAAAGAACTACCAGGAATCTCAAAACAGACTCCTTAGGAAAGTTGCATGCAAACAAAAAACCCTGACTGAGGAAAAAGGCAATGAATGCAGTTCACTGGGGGAAAAAAATGTGAATACAAAACATGTTTCTTCAAAAAAAAAGCTTCTTAAATTTGATTCTCCTGGAAAGCATTTAGACTTACCTGGTCATGTAAGAAACTGTGCAGAAAAGAAACCTGATGTAGCTAAAAAGCACAGGATATCATTCAGCCAAAGTTTATCTGATACAAAGAAAGACAAAAATCAAACTGGAAAAAAACATGAGAAATTATCCAATCATAACTTATCTAATGGGCCTAACAAATTTCAAACTGGCAGAAAACATACTAAATTGGACATAATTCAGTCTGGAGAAAAACAGGAAAAATCATCAAGCCATAGCTCATCTCCTGTTAAGCATGATAAAGCTCAGGCTAAAGTGAAACCGTATGAATGCAATGAGTGTGGGAAGGTTCTCAGCCATAAGCAAGGACTTGTTGATCATCAGAGAATTCATACTGGGGAGAAACCTTATGAGTGTAATGAATGTGGGATAGCCTTCAGCCAAAAATCTCACCTCGTTGTACATCAGAGAACTCACACTGGAGAGAAACCTTATGAATGTATTCAGTGTGGCAAAGCCCACAGTCATAAACACGCCCTCACTGACCATCTGAGAGTTCATACTGGGGAAAAGCCGTATGAATGTACTGAATGTGGGAAAACCTTCAGACATAGCTCAAACCTTATTCAACATGTGAGATCTCATACAGGCGAGAAGCCCTATGAGTGTAAGGAATGTGGAAAGTCCTTTAGGTATAACTCATCTCTTACGGAACATGTGAGAACACATACAGGTGAAATTCCATATGAATGTAATGAATGTGGAAAAGCCTTTAAGTATAGCTCATCCCTTACCAAACATATGAGAATTCATACAGGTGAGAAACCCTTTGAATGTAATGATTGCGGGAAAGCTTTCAGCAAGAAGTCACATCTCATTATACATCAAAGAACTCATACTAAGGAGAAACCCTACACGTGTAATGAATGTGGAAAAGCCTTTGGACATAGTTCATCTCTTACTTACCATATGAGAACTCATACGGGTGAAAGTCCCTTTGAGTGTAATCAGTGTGGGAAGGCCTTCAAACAAATTGAAGGCCTTACTCAACATCAGAGAGTTCATAGTGGGGAGAAGCCCTATGAATGTAATGAATGTGGGAAGGCGTTTAGCCAAAAGTCACACCTCATTGTGCATCAGAGGACTCACACTGGGGAGAAGCCCTATGAATGCAATGAATGTGGAAAAGCCTTCAATGCAAAGTCACAGCTTGTTATACATCAGAGATCCCACACTGGAGAGAAACCCTATGAATGTAATGAATGTGGAAAAGCCTTCAAACAAAATGCATCCCTTACTAAACATGTGAAAACGCATTCAGAAGAGAAATCGCATGCGTGAAATTAGTGTGGGAAATCTGAACTAAAGAGTTTATGTAACTTTAGAAGTATTCTGAATTTAAAGGATGTTAGAAAGCCTTTAACAAGAAGTCACACCTCATTACACATGAGAGAATTTGAAAATGAATCTTCACATAGAGGAAATGGATGGAGAGTTTAAATGATATTAAACCTTTCATAGAAAATATTGTTTTAAAAATCATTATTATAAATGATCTATATGTTCAGATTGAAATATATAGCTTTTAAAATTGTTAATAAATTGAGTAATCAGAGCACTAGAGAAACAAATTACATCTGCCGACAAAGTTCCCAAGTTGCTTGAGTGTTGTGTACTTAAGCATCATACAGGAGAACTGAATTTGCGTATCTCTTTATTGCCGTGTGTAAATGTGTGTGACCACTGGTGTGAGTTTCATCCTTGATGCTATCACACAGCTCTTTCTTAATGTCTTTGCTAGTTTCTACATCAGCAGAAAACTATAAAAGAGTTATTATTTATGTAAAAAATATTAACATCAAATTAAGAGAAAAATAAAGCAGCTGACGACACACAGGTGCTAGTAGGGAATGCTATCCAAGATACATTGTTGAGTGAAAAAAGCAGGTTTCTCAGCTATGTGTATAGTATGTTCCAAATTGTGTACAAAAGGGTGTGTGTGTGTGTGTGTGTGTGTGTACATATATTTGTATGTGAATAGATTGGTTTGAAAAAACACAGAAGAAACTGAGTGATTGCCATTGGGTGCAGGAGTTCAGGAATGGGGTCTGCAATAGGAGGGAAATCTCCTTTTTATTGTATACTGCTTAAATTTTTAAATAATGTACATATATTATTTTCAGAATTAAGATCCTTTTAATATGTATAAATCAACACTAACGAAAATTTTCATTGAACCCACTCCACAATGTTGTTTGACAAAGTAAAACGTTATGTCTGTTCCTGAATGAGCATATGTTGTTAAATTTGATACTGAATTCACAAAGGCTTTTCCTTTCAAATATGTTCTTTCATTAAAATAATGAATTACAGCTAAAACTCAGCACCATGTTTCTTCAGTTCGCCATATTTTTAAAGATTGTTGATGAATTGTGATTGCAGTTGAATGCAAGTGATTTTCTGAATAATCACTCCATCTTGTTTCATATCCAAAGTGCTTATACATGAATACCTCACTTTGGGATTTCAGATGTATTGCAACAAATGGCACTACTTCCTGTTCTTGCCCAATAGCAGACCTTGGTCATGGTCATTGCTTCTGAACAAATATGTGATTAAATGCCATCTTTGCAAACATTTCCCATTTCAGTGCCTGCCTTTCTGACCTCATTTTGGAGAATTAAAAGGTATAAATACTTAGAATGGAACTTGTGTGTGTGTGTGCACATGTGCACATGAATGCATTGAAAGATCAACTCATGGATATTATGCCCTTGTTATCAAGTAACTTATTTACTCTCAGGGGAAGAAAATGAACTGTGGAAGCTATAGCCATTAGTAATTTTTTACCCAATGAAAGTCTGCACTGTTCACAGAATGAATCATCACTGTCCAGAGCGGTAGAAAATCTGCACTTTTTAGAAGAATAAAACAGTTGCACGTTACGATTAGATTAAATTTCGTACACCTCTTGGAGAACCCATAGCCACACCTGGAACAGTCAAGAATATAGGTATGCCTGAACAGTAGAAATGAATGCTAAAAGCCATCCTATGCAGCAAGAAATGAATTCAAATTTAGCATCAGCGAATGAGGAAATGATGTCTAAAACTGACTGGAGGTGAACAATGAAAGAAAATAGACGTACGTAGGTGAGTCTAAATCAATGACACACAAGCTTTAACATGCACCAAATATGCCTGGAGGTCTTGTGAAAACAGTCTTTAGAAATGGGTCCCACCCACATGGTTTCTGATTTAGTAAGTCTGTGGTGGGGTCTGAGAATTTGCATTTTAAAGAAATTCCCAGAGAATGCTGATATGGCTGGTGTGGGGACCACATTTTGAGAATCACTTATCTGAATAATTGTTTACATAAATTTTGAAAACATTTACAAATGTTCCTGGATATTTCTTTAATATAAAGAAGAGGAAGGGGCATACATCCATAAAGTAAATTATTAAGCATTTTAAAACATTTATTTATTCAAGTAATATTGATCATCTACTATACATTGAGCACTAAGTCCTAGAGATATAGCAGTCAATGAAACAACAAGAAAAGAAAGCTTTTCCTTGGAGAGCATAATTCTAGAGTGGAAGACAGGCAATAAATCTAAATAAGTCACCCCTTGGTATCTACAGGGGATTGGTTCCAGGACCGGCCACAGATCTGTGGATGCTAAAGTTCTATAGTCGGCCCTCCACATCTGTGATTCCACATCTCAGGAGTCAACCAACCATGAACTGTGCAGTACTGAATATTTTTATTGAAAAAAATCCATGTGTAATTGGACCTGCACAGTTCAATCTTACAGGGGTCCACTGTAATTAAAATGTAGATTATAACAAGGGTGGCAAGTGGTATGGCAAAAAACAAAGCAGGGAAGGGGATTGCAATTGGAAGATAATGCAGTTTTAAATATGGTAGTAGCGGTGGTCGACTAAGCTTAGGCTCACTTAGGTGGTGACACAAGCAAAGACTTAAAGAGTGAGAAAAGAAGCAAGTCATGTGTCTATATGATGGAAGAGCATTCCAGACACATATCTTTTAGAATCTGAGGGTATGAGAAAAGAGAGAAAGATACTGATCTCCTCTGACACACAGAAGAGGAAAAATAAGAAAAATTTCTATTGAACCAATATTTTAAAAATAATTAGGTTTGCAAGAGATGTAGAAAACAAGATTTCTCATACACTGATTTTGGTCGTCAAGTTTGTATAACCGATTTAAATGTAAATCTGAGAGTATATGTCAGATCTTTAAAATGTCTTGCAGTCTCACTTCCAGGAATGTATTCTATGATATATAATTAGAGTGTCCTATTATTATTACAGAATACAGAGAAATGGATAAAACATAAGTTGCCAGTTAACTGATTAAATAAAGTATGACATCCTCATAAGATAGAACTTGGTGTGGTGGCAAGGGATAATTTGAGAGAAAACATGCAGGTTTTTTAACATGAAAAAACCACATGACTGAGTTCAGGGCAACAACAGCTACAGGAAAGTGAGAGGAGAATGCCCCAAAACAGAGATTCCAATAGTGAGAAACCCAAATTATGTAAATAAGCTCTGCCCAATTTCTGGCTGACCCCTGAACCATGCATGTATGGTACAGACTCCTAACCCTTTTGTCTTTTGAACTGAGCTTTCATTTGTGCTGCTGCCGTAGAGACAAAGTTTAAAGTTTGAGTTCAACCATGTTAATTATTTGATAGAACAAAAACATTAACACTCCTCCGAGGAATATAATGGAATCCAGAATTGCCACAACTTATCATTCATGATATCTAGGATACAAGAAAATTTACTTGACATTCAAATAATCAGGAAAATGTGATCCCATTTCATGAAAACAGACCATCAACCCAGAAACTGGAGTAAGCTGATGAAGGTATCAGTGTAGCTAATATAACTATGATTAATAAAATAAAATATGTTCACAATGAATGTTAAGATTTT